GCTGAAAGGTCCAACCCGCTCATCACCTGGTTGGTTGCTCTGGCAAGCAGCCCCCAGCTTTAGGGGCTTCCTAAAAGTCACGTCTTTAACATAAATTCAGGTGTGGTTGAAAGGGGCATGTGATGAATAACAAAAGACACTCCTCTCACCTCTAGGAGATCTCACTTAGGACATTCTATGGGTTTTAGGATCTTTGTGCTAGCTGCGGGGGAGGGAGAGCAAATCCACAGTTCTTGTAAATCACAGCATCCGCACTTGTTAAATTCATGTGAGTGAATGGGAGTCGGTTCACACCATTTGCCTTCAGTGAAAGGGACCGGAAAGCTGGTGGGAACCTTGTTGGGACTTTCTGTACTGTACTTACTTAAATTTTTGCCATATGCACATATGGTAAACGTTATTATTTGTACTAGGAAGATAAAATAAATGAGTAAAAGATACCCTTTGCCTTCCTCGCCTTCAGGAGGCCAAGAGGTTTTCGGGTGGGCGGTGCCCCCTTCTGGCCTCTCTGCGCTCACTGACCCTCTTCCCTTCTCTTCCAGCTTTCCTGCCTTTTACAGCGCCCATGGTGAGTACGCTGCCCCTCGCCATTGTGTAAGCAGGCAGGGGTTTAGGAAGACGTCCGCCTGCCTCCTAACCTCGGGGGCTCCAGCTCCCCACCCCTATCCCTGAAAAGTGGTTGTGGATTCCCTACATCTGACTCTTGTGTGCTCTTCATATATTCCCATCCCACACCCATTACCCATTTGGGCCTCTGGACCTCTGGAAGGTCCGTAGTGTCACAAGGTAATCCTTCCTTTGACTGCCTACTGTGCCCAAAGCACTATGGGAGGAGATCTATGAGTTAAGATGTGCTTCCTGCCTCACACCCACATAATTGTCCATTACTTACTCTCCCCAAGCCTGTGCCCTCATACAGGCCCTCACCCAGGACGTAAAATTGCTCCTAGTGAGGCTGGCTCACTTTGGCGCTCGCGAGGTGCTCTCACAAAGTGACAGCACTCCTCTATCACTTCTTCCACACCTGCCCTGAGCCTGTGTCCCCTTGCAAGTGCATCCTTCTCCCCTGCCCTGCACAGTTGCAGGTCTCGGATACAAGGACCACTGTGAGACCCCCGAGTGTCCTTAGTGCCCAGTTGGTGCCCATTCAACATTGCTTGTCCACTGACCAGTGGCTCCCTGCATGGGCACCTTCATCTCCTTGTCCCAGCTCCTGGGGAGTTCAGTTCTGCATTTTCCCTGGGAAGGTCTTTGCTCCTACAAGCTCTGCCTCCCCAAAACACTATAACTCTGTTTTTGTTTTTTGTTTTCTTTCAAGGTATTTTTGTCGCTGGTGTCAGTAAAAAGTCTAAAGTCCATTATTTTACCGCAGGTAGCAATTCTTCCTATTTTACGATTACTAAATTCTGTTATTGAAACCAAAATGTGATCTATTTGCCCATCTTCCTGCAGTTTTCCTTCTATACCTACAGTACAGCCTTCAACATCATCAATGGAAATGCAAGTTATGTGAGTACGAGGCCCAGCGGGTTGCAATTTTATGTTATTTCTTTAGGAGTTATTCTTTGTTTTCATTATCTTTACTGGGTAAGACTGTGGTATTTGCTAAATATGTACTTTCGATTTTCCCTAGAATCACCACCCATATGAGAGTATATTACTGGGGTCAGGAGCAATTGCTTCTTCAACCTTTTTTGGAGTAGGTATTTTAAAATTCTGTCAATTTTTTTTTTTTTTTGGAAGGGATTAGACAGCATAAATAGGTAACTACAATATTACCACAGGGATATGAAAGACAGTTCGGGGAATATAATAATGTCGTAAATATTTTGTAGGGTATCAGATGGTCACATGTCTTGTTAGGGAGACCACTTCATGAATGGAGTAGAGGCTTGTCACTGCACTGTACACCTGAAGCTGATGTTGTATAATACTGTATGTCAACTATAATTTTATTTATATATATATAGATATATACATATATATCTATATATATATAGTAACGGGATTTGGAGTATAGTGTGGGAGATGAGGCAATGGAATTGTAATAGATATGTATGATATTGGGGAGGGGAGTGGGACCGCGGATTGGGGGAGGGGGTTGTCACTTTGAGGGGTAAAAAGTATAACTATTGCACTATGTTGTACACCTGAAACTAATTAAAAAAAATTTTTTTTTTTAAATAAAAATCTTATTTTTGGTTCCAGGAATTAAAAAAAAGTTTATCCTGATTAGAAATCTATGTTCCAACTTAAACAATTTAGAAAAATACTACTAAGACAGAAGAAACTAAAAGTCTCCTGTAATCCTACCACCCCCATAAAATTATGTGACTATTCCATGCTCAGTACTCTTATCATTTTTAAAATTGAATTTATGCTCCATGAACATGTTATACAAATTATATATTGCTTTGTGTGTCAGGATATTGTAATGGTTAAAAATGTAGACTTTAGAATCTGATAAGCCCGGGTTTGTATCCTGGCGCAATTCCTTAAGAGTTCAGTGACTCTGGACAAGTTATGTCACTTCTAGAAGCCTCTGTGTATTCCTGTGATAATCAGGGGAGCAGCTCAATGCTGCACAAATTCAAAAACTCACGGAAAGCACTGGCAGCAGTCTCACCTGTAACGGGAATGAGGTCTCTGCTGTCGAGTACATTCAGCTAATTTTTTCTGCCCCATGCAATAATGATTTTTCTCTTATTTTCCAGTTATTCCCTCATTTACTCCAAATAAAGTTCGAACTGAAAAACATTTTCATAAGAAGAACGTTGCCTGTTATTATTCTTGGTAAGCAGAAAGCATGCCATCTTTGTGGTCTTTGAGCCTTTCCTGCATCTTCAGGGACACCCAGGTCCTTTGGCCACAGTGTGGCTAAAGACAGCCACCATTTGTAGCTGGCTGGTGTCCCCAGGCCCAAATTAGATCTTTGCTTTGAATTGTGATACTTTCCCTGTAGATACCCCGTTAGTTGTCAAAAGATGAACACAAACCTGGAAACACAAATTGCATTTTAAAGAGCACCCGTACATGCCCTCCATGTGTATTATTTCACTTCATCCTGACAGCAATTTATGGGTAGNCCTCTGAGCTGGAGAAAAACTGTTGGGCTGAAAGATAATGCAGTGTACACATGGCCAGCTTCACCGCGGATGCAGAGCCCGGGGCTGGGCTTAATGCTCCGATGTCGACATTTCTTCATCTCTCTTTAATAAGGGGCGCCACATTTTCATTTTTCACTGAGCCATGAAAAGTATGTAGCCAGCCCTGACTATCCCCAATACCTGTACACTGGACTTTAAGGGGCAGCTGAAGGGATTTTCCAGGGTAATGTCCAAAAGCTTAGGGTAGATGGCTGTGATATGGGGGTTCCGACAGGTGACTCCTCCTGTACTGGAAGCGACCTCGCTACCCTAAGGGGTGAAGCAGGATTGAATGACTTGGTCTATGGGAGAGCTGGAGTCACAGAAACAGTGGGTGCGTGGGGCTGAGGGTAGAGGCGTGGGACCTGGAGGCGCTGGAAGTAATGACACCGGGAAGCAGGCGAGCCGCGCCCCAGGAGCGGGAACACCGGGGACGGGGCGCTTGCAGATGATGACACCGAGCAGCGGGCGTACAGGAACCGGAGAGAAAACAGCGGACACCAGGCGCCCGGGGCGCTGGGGCGTGGTGACAGAGCTGCGCGTGCGCGGGCCCGGGGCTTGGGCACGCCTCCCGACTCCTCCTCCGCCCGTGACCTGGAGGCGGTGGCCTCTCCAACTATCACCGAGGCCCCAGGAAGAAGAGCAGGGGAAGGAGGAAACGCAGGGGCAGCACGTCTCTCAGGGTACGGCGGCGCTACCGCCGGCATGGAGCCCAACGTGCGCTTCTGGATCACCGAACGCCAAGTACGGCTCGGGACCTGCGCGGCTGGGGGCAGGGAGGGCGCGGGGCGTGACGCGTGGAGTCGTGGGCTGGCCCGCATGACCTTGGGCAGGCCACGTGGCCGTAACACCCACTTGACCACCTCAGACCCCGGCAGGCGACCAAGGGGAAACCCAAGCTTGCTGGATGCTGACGGCCACGGCTGTTACCCGTGTGTCACTTCTACCCCAGGCCTGGCTAGGGAGGGTCGCCACAGAGTCACCCTAAAGATCGCCCTAAATGAAGAGTCAGCTCCTCGCAGGCGGCCGCCCACTGCTGCCTAAACTGTTGCTGAGCACTAGATTGTATCAGGTTGGAGGGGAACGGGTCCTCCCAGGAGCCCCCAGCCTCCCAACCTGGGTAGGCTCTGCCACTCAGATTGTGAGCCGCCCGGGACAGGAAACACAGGCTCCGCCTTCAGGCAGTGTCTAGCGTGGCGCTGTCCAATAGAAATATGACGGGAGCCATATAGCTAATTAAAATTTTTCTAGAAGCCACACTAAAAAGGCAAAAAGAAACAAATTAATTTTAA